GTGTAAATAATTTTAAATTTGTAGTCAAAAGAATGTATTTAGATCAGTTTTGTATTTTCTGGCTTGTTCAGTTTTGTTTTTTAAAATGATTTCAGGCACGTAGTGTAAATAATTTTTTTTTAAAAAAAGTTTGCAAAAAAAAAACCAAAAAAAAAACCAAAAAAAAAATTTTAAAAGTTGCCCAAAGTCAAAAGATTTCGTGGGGGGGGGGGGGGGGGGGGGGGGGGGTATGTATTTAGACCAAATATCTTTCAGTTCAAACTTTTTGTATTTTCTTTATAACGCTACACTGTTGAAATGTGGGGGGGCAGTTTTGTTTTTTAAAATGATTTCATATGCAAGTATGTTCACACCCCTTTTTTAAAAGAGTACATTGACCCATTGGCGTGGTTGTAGCCCAAAATCCTGATGACCACTCGAAAAAATGAAGAATTAATATTTCATTGCTACACATGCACGTCAGGAACATCTCTAATTAGAAAAGCACAGGTTAGCTAAAAATGTACACGAATCCAAGGTTAACTCCAGCACAGGCACGTAACATTACTGCCCTGGGGGAGGGGGAGGGGAGCCCCCCCCACTTTTTTTCAAACATAACTTTTTTACTATTCAAAATGTTTATTGAAGGCCGCCCCCTTTTGTTACAGTAAGGTCAAATAAGGGCAATGTAGTATTATATGTAGAAATTTTGGTACCGTAGAAGTTGAACCTGTCCCTAAATGTTTCTGTAAACCAGATGACATACCGTCCTTGGTTGGTTGTGTTGCCTATGCGATAATCCTCATTTATGTTCAGCAACAATTCTCATTTAATTATTTTAACACTATAGTTTATAGCTAAAATTTCACTATATGTAATGAATGGATGTGATGACAGAGCTATGGACTATTATTTCAATATCCTGAAGTCCATGCTTGGTAAGTTGAAATATAAAATTCTTTATAAATAAATGTGTAAGAGGCTTAATGCTTCAATGGAAACCAGCGACATCATTTTAATTGGACCTATAACACCTATTTGTATAAAAATAAATTGGAGTTGTATCATGGCTGCGGTGTTTTTCCTTTGAAGTCAAGTGTACAATAACTGGAGATACACCGATGGGCGGAGCCAGCCGAAACTGTGCCGTGTAAATAAATTATTGAACACCAAGGCGATTTCATCATTTTAATTTACATGTATATTGAATCTGAATTACAGAATGAATGGGCTTTGTAATATACAAATGCAAAATTTCTGCAAGTGAAATAAAAGTCTTTCACATAAATTACAGTACGTATATATCCCTAAGTGAACCACGAAATGATTTTACGGATCTCTTCAAATATTCAATCCACAGTAACTAGAAATCAAATTCTTGACATGAATTCCAGACAGAAATATATTAAAATATCCCATCTGTTGTAATATAGGGCTTAAGCTGTACTGCATTCACAGATGAAGAGTAATTGACCCTGACACAGCGTTTTCGTGAATACGACAGCTCTCAAATATATCAAATGATCAGCGGTTTTTTTTTTCTTGATTTTTGAATAACACTTGAATTTACCTTCTTCAACTTCGAATTTTTCTTCTTTGATATCCAAAGGTTTTCTTGTGAATTTCATTAACAATCCAGGGGCGGATCGATATCCAGCAATTTTTGAAAGGGGGGGGGCTCCAGGTCGGTGCCCCCAGCACTCATGCACAGAATCACACCTCCAGAATCACAACTCGGCCACTTTAAGTCCGTAGCTACATTTAAAAGAAAGGGGGCCTCCAAAACAGTTGACAAGGAAATCCGGGAGGGGGGGGGGGGGGCTGGTATGCTGCAATCCGACGTCCTTTCTCATGAACACACGCACGTAAAATGTTTATTAAAAATACTGACAGGAAGGAGAGATTATCCATGCGGTCACCTGACAAAAACTATATTTTGAACAGTGTTGCTGTTGTTACTAAAAATAGAAATTTCTGTGAAATTCTTTCAAAATATTGGTGTAATTAAAAATCATGCTGAAAATCTGTGACAAGACGTTTGATTGGCCATGATACAAGAAAGTTATTGAATATTTAATTTATTTTATTATGGTGTATCCTGATTGATTTGGACGAAGGGCGGAGACTCGTGCTTCGCACTCGTCACCGCCCTTCGTCCAAATAACTCAGGATACACCATAATAAATATACAATAACTATTACTTGTTTGAGCAAGATGTTCGGATTTTCAAATAATGGAATGACCTTACTACCCTAGTTGGGCATGGACTAGTCCAAGGATATATAAAGCGAAGCCTTAGAAGTTCACGAAAGAGGCCGACAGATGAATCAAAAAGAGAGAGGAGAGATATTAAAGAAAAAGTAAGTGTAAGAATATAATAGAAGCACCAATGGCAGGTAATCCTAGGGAATTGATGTTTAATTCTGAGTGCAGTAAATCTGAAGAAGACTGAGCCACCCAGTTCTTCGCTATGAACAGGAACCTAGGGGGAGAAGCACGGTGCAAATAATCTCTAGTTGAGAATTTTTTAATGCAACTGTGATTTTCCCTCAGATAGAGCGGTATATTTACAATTCCAATCATTAACTCAGACAGAGTTTGAGAAAACATATAATATATATATGCCCCTTTTAGAACCCAATCATGCACGTTAAATCTAAAGGGGTGTCTCTCAGTCGATACGATACAATAGAGCATGACGAGCATATTTTCAAACTAGGCAATGCTTGAAAATTGCAAATTGAACGTGGAACCCCCCCCCCCCCCCACCACACACACAAAGGTAAGCCCCACTTTTCAATGTCTATATTATGTATATTTCTGTAAAACATCTACGTGCCTAAGCCCCCCTCCCGGTACCGATACCTATGCTACACCTAAATATATGTATTTGCATAACTAGTATGACGTTGTAAACTTTTGATAAATTTTAGTTTACATAAAATGCATGCAAACTGGAAAAAATTAAATTAAGTACAGTAAATATTTAAGATAGAAAGTATGGAGAAATCAAAATCGCTCACTTTCACATCCTGAACACAGGTACTTGTGGACAGGACCCCCCCCCCAACTATACACCCCTGGTCAAAATATTTTTTTTTCTTTTTTTGTCTTGAATTATGTTTCTAGTACTTATTTACAACGTATTCCATATGAAAAATCCAAAAAATAACATTGATTTAACGATTTACTAAAAAAAGTCATACCCTGGTATTATAAAATACTCTATTTTATAATACCAGGGTATGACTTTTTTAGTAAATCGTTAAATCAATGTTATTTTTTGGATTTTTCAAAATACGTTGTAAATAGTACTAGAAACATAATTCAAGACAAAAAAAGAAAAAAAAAATATTTTGACCAGGGGTGTACTTTCATATCCTGAAGAGGCCTTATCACAGAAAAAGTTATCCAAAAAGTACAATTCTACCACGATTATTGCCGAGATCAAAGAAATATTGCGGACCTTATTCTCCAATAAATCATGAACGTCATAAAAAATATCAGATCAGAAGCACGTATCAAACCTGAACAATTCAAATGCATGTTTGGCTGTAGAATGAAATACTTGTTTAGATTACATCGATGTGTCGTCTTTTGCAGTATAAACACTGTAAATTGCATGAAGTTGCTGATGAATGTCGGTTTTTAGCTCTACTGGTCAGAGACCAGAAGAGCTTATGCGATAGTAATGCGTCCGTCGTCCGTCCGTCTGTCTCAGGGGCGGATCCAGCCATTTTTGAAAGGGGGGTTCCAGGCTTGTGTCTGTCATACACACTCTCAAGCAAAGATTGACACACATGTATGGAAAGATCCAAGGTTGTGGTAAATAATAAGTTTGTTTATGTCCCTTTTTTCTTTGAAAAGGTAAACCCCCCAGTCCGAATAAAAAAAAACACATTTCAAAATCTAAAGTACTGAAGCCTTGAAATTGAATGGATTTGCAGCATTTCCAAAGAGTAAAAAGAATTCTATTTTAGAATTTGAAAATTTTTTTAGGGGTGGGGTGCGGGTGGGTTTAAAACAAAGCATTACAGAGTTCCTTCAAAAGATGATTAAAAAACGGTGTATATAGCCAACACGGCCAAAGATAGCGTTATCTAATTAAATCTCACATGTTACTTATCGTATATGAGATATATAAAAATAATAGACTATTTTCTCCATTCTCTCATAAAAAAGTAATAGTGAAGGAATAGTAGAGGAAACTAAATGTGTGAAATATATTCAATACATAAGTAAGACTACAAATATTTATTCTAAAACGATTATCCTCTCTTCTCTCTCTCTCTCTCTCTCTCTCTCTCTCTCTCTCTCACCACTTGGCAAAAAATGAACGGTGTTGGATCCGTGTCTGTCTGTCTGTCTGTCCGTTTGTCTGTCTGTAAACAATTTTTCAAAATGCTACTCCTCCTACAGTTTTGGTCTGATTTCAATATAACTTGGCACACAGCAAGTAGACTACACTAAGGTACATAATTCTATTTATCGGTTTTTGATTTTGATGAACAGTGTTGCTGTTGTTACTAAAAATAGAAATTTCTGTGAAATTCTTTCAAAATGCTACTCCTCCTACAGTTTTGGTCTGATTTCAATATAACTTGGCACACAAGTAGACTACACTAAGGTACATAATTCTGTGTATCAGTTTTTCACTTCCATGAATGGTGTTGCCATGGTTACTAAAAATAGAAATTTCTGTTAAATACTCTCAAAATGCTACTCCAAATACAGTTTTAGTCTGATTATAATATAATGTGGCATGCAAGTAGACTACACTAAGAACATAAAGAGACTTAATCAAGGATCATTATTCTATTTATTGCTGTTGAAAAGTTTCAATTTCCAACTGCTTAAGTACTTTTCTCTTCCTTTGCTATACTTTGCTATATGTACAAACCAGTAGAGCTTCAGTCTCGACAGAGACTTCTGGTTATAAATAAGCGGGGTTATTCCACGGACATCCCTACACATTTAAACAACGTGATTTTAGTCCCAATAGAGCAGTAAAACAGGAACATGATTTTGTTATTGTATATTCATCAAAACAAATCAATACATATATGTAATTTACAAAGGCTATCTTTAATGTAATGAAAGCTAAAATCGTCTGCATTCCATACACAGGTAAGCAAACAAATTTTCCCGCTGGTGTTAAATGGAACAGCTTAATCGAGACATGATGACATAATTTGTTTCTCTATAGTTTCTGAAAAAAAATCAACACTCTCGTTTAAAGTCGTCATTTCGCAAGTTTCATGGTCGATACAATAACCTTATCAGAAAAACCAATCTATCATTATTATACACTTATTTCATGACTACGAGGGGAACAGTCAAACTGTTGTTCCGAGGTAATGGGGAAGACCTGGGAAACTGTTGCCCGAGGCCGAAGGCCGAGGGCAACAGTTTCCCAGGTCTTCCCCATTATCGAGGGACAACAGTTTGACTGTTTCTCTAGTTGTGTTTTATTACCTAACCTACTATATAAATTGTAATTAGGCATTTTGAACTGTTTCACGATTCATTTTATGCTTTTGCGTGATCATGAAACAGTCGAACTGTTGACCGGGCCACAGAATTAACTGTTGCCTGGCTGAAATATCTATTATGACGTCATAATCAATTTCCCGTACTTTACAGCTATATTACATTGAATTAATATGTATAAAATAAAGCAACTTAATGGCATTCAATTTGAAATTATCATCTGAAAAGTAATCCTGATATCTATATATATGGCACGCCGAATTTACAAAAATGAGATAAACCTAGTTTCACATTTGATAAACTAGGTTTATCGACTGTAAACTATAGTTTACAAACCGTAAACTATAGTTAACGATTCGTTAAGTATAGTTTTCATCTGTAAAACCATATTTAACGGTTGTTAACTATAGTTTACGAATGATAATCTAAGTTTATCTGTCTGTAATAAGCGTTAACGATAGATTTTGTTGATAAACATAGATTCACGTTTGTAAACTATAGTTTACAATCGTAAACTATAGTTAAGAGTTGTTAATCATAGTTTCACAAATCGTGAAACTATATTTATCAGATCGTTAACTATAGTTAACGGTTTGTAAACTTGTAAATCGTGAAACTGTATTTATCAGAAAATCTATGTTTTGCAATCGCAAATGATTGTTTTCAGTGTTAAGTATAGTTTACGGTTGTGAAACATAGATTATCGCGTTAACTATGGTTTACGGATGTAAAATATAGATTAACGTTGTTAACTATAGTTTACAGTCCGTAAACTATAGTTTACAACCAATAAACCTAGTTTATCGACTGTGAAACTATGTTTATCTCATTTTTGTGAATTTGGCGTGCCATATATATAAATATATGTTTAATTTAATATCACTTCCAAGAAGAGGCCAAGAACACTTTTTCTGAAGGTAGTTTGGGAAAAATGTAGGACCCTTCATTCAGTATAGATCTTTGCGTTAAAACTCCAACTCAGCATGTTATAACATTCAAACCTTCAAGACATTATAAGGTTGTTTACAAATGAGGCACTGATAAATTGATATTTTATTATATATTGTTTTTAAACCAATCGGCGTGAGAATTTGGTTAGTCTATTGTTCAGTTTGATTTCAAGAAATAAAAAATTTGGCCGATTTATTCTAAAATCCATTTGATTATTACGCTATATCATCATTTTAAGAAATTATATACTAGTAGTAGGTTAGGTAATAAAACACTTATTTCATGACAACTAGGGAAAGACCTGGGAAACTGTATATATTTTATATTGTGACACGATAGCGGTGTTTTTCTTTGAAGTTTACTGTTCTGTATTAGCAATACAGAACGGGACTGTGGTGGGCGGAGCTACTTTCCGTTCTGTATTAGCCCTGTATACAGTGTATTTGCCAACTATTCTGTATCTAAAATTCAGCACGGTCTAAAAATAAATCTGATTCAATTTAGCAAAGCTTGCACGTACACATAATAAATACTGATGTTTTCCTATAATTAATTTTGAAGAAATCCCCGGTATTTTCCTGAGAATGTAGAATGTCAAAATTTCTCAATCAATTTCTAAAAACTTATTCCACACAGAATCTACACGTAATTTCGATCGAAAGTAAAAAAAAAATCGCAATAACGGAAAACATCCTCTGTACCTAATTTTGAACAATCCACACGAAACGGAAAATTCGCTATCACGGAAAAAATCCTTCTCGCTGACGACAGCCACACGTCTCTTTTACTTCGTTTTTAATGTCGCCATTCAATTTGAAAATGAAAATCCCTGACATCAAAGTCCATCGAAGAATTTTCTGTAAATCCTGTTTTTGTAAATCTAGTTAAACCGGGATTTTAAGACCCCTGAAATAAATTATGATAAATCTCCATCTACAATTATAACAATAGATCACAACAATTACGGTTAAATTCTCCAATCCATCCATTAAAATTGGCTATCACTCGATTACGTCTACCCCGTTAAATTGTCAAAACAAATCTGACCGAATTTTACGTTTTCCGTGGAAATATATATACTGCGGATGCGTACTCCCCGTCGGGGCCTCATCAACAGTGGATGCTGCAAAGTTATAAAGTGGGCGGGGCTATTTTTGATTGATCGTGTCACAAATCATTTAGAGAACTCGACAGGTTCTGTATCGTAGATACAAATTTGGGGGCAGTTTCATTTTCGCACTCGTAAAATTTGTATCTACGATACAAATTGTCGAGTTCTCTAAATAATACTAATTACTAGTATGTCTCTGTTTCTAAAATAATATTTCAAAATTTTTTGATAAAGCTAAGTACGAGTACAGACTAATATATGTAAACGACTAACAATGTTTACTCTGCGTGTGTAGAAAGCCCTACATGTAGCAGTAGGAACCAGTCTGACTTAAGCCAGTCCCAGCTTTTTCTTTTCGCGCACGAACGAAGTGAAAAAGTACGGACTGGCTTTAGCAGACTGCAGTGGGAACCAATCTTGAACTCATTCTTCGGTATTGTATCCTTGACAGCTATTGTTATTTCTCGACTATATCATCGTCTTAAGTCATGATTCGGAGTCCCATGGTTTTCGACGATGACATTATATATAAACAGAAAATTCTTTCTCCAAGATCATATTTAGTACAGTACTTTACTGTCTTAGCATCATCTCATATGCCTGGTAGCTATTCAGTATTAATGTGCTCTCATTTCTTAGGTGTACACATGTGGAACACGTTATGTTTTGATCATTTTCCGTAAAGCCTTTTTGCATCTTCAAACAAACGAAAAACATATGTTGGACATCAATTATGTTTTAATTGTGTGTTTCCCTGGTACATATTTTGCATGAAATCTCATTGTAAGCGAAAAAATCTCCACAAAGTCAATTGCTTGCTTTTTGAAGCATGGATACTTAATTGCGGATAAGTTAACACAACAAAACAATCAATGAGATCTCTACACCCGTCTGTCTCATCAACAAACAACAAAATCCACTTTCTCAAAAGCAACAGTGACGGAATTTATTGTAGCAAGGGAAACATACATTTTTTAAAACTTGAAGTCATCTTCTCTCTCTTTTAAAACAAAAACAGATATTTTTTGAAATATTGTAAAATACAGTCATAAAATGTTTGTACACCAGAACACAACAATCATTATACAGAAAATTCAATCTTACAGAGACGACGACAAGTTAGAAACAGTCCCCTTTCTTTATTAACGTGATATACTTATATATTTAAACAAATAAAATATCAACATAAAGTACTCTAAATATGGCAGTACTTTAATATCACATAACTATTGCACATTTTGTAGAAGTTCACTCTTGCCGCATATTTCATTCATTAACGTGAAGCACAGTGTACACAGACTTTGATGATGTCATTGATGTGTGTGTTGAGGTCTACCGTCAGAGCTGTTGCTATCCTGGCCGTGCCGAGCTATGGCTTCACCAACTCCCTCTTTTTGCAATATATCATTTATACGAATAAAAGTCAACGTCATGCAGCAAACACGCATTTGCTTTAGCCTCCAGCACATTATAAATAACAAAAATAAATAATCTGTACAAGGGAAATTTTGGAATATAGTCTCTATAACATCATAATATTTTGCGTTGCGCGAATTTAAAATAAATGTCTCTTGAATTATGATGAATGCTTCCTAAAAATATCTGAAAATAAAATATAAAGCATCATTAGATATCGCCAGTTCAAGTTTTCCAGCAGAGTAGATTTCATACAGAGTTAGTGCAGTTTATGGTGCACGCGTACTTACATGCATTTAGACTTTGATGACCTTGGTGACTTCCCTAGTGACAGACATTGATCGTGTTCTGCGGACGGCGGCAAGGTTCTTCTCGGCGGAGTCGGCGCGGTGTTCAGCCTCCTCGATTAATTGCTGAGCCTTGCGGTATTTGTTCATTGTCAAGTTGGCTACATCCTCCTGCAAAATTCAAACAAATGTCCATTTAATATCGGAACCATGCCAGAACATCGGATTATATTATTCTGATTCTACTTGACGTGAATACTTACAGCCTCCTCGATCTGGCGTTTGTATGTCTTGATTTTGATGGTGAGTTGGTCGACGAGACTGGTCAGCTCAGCTACTTGACGGCGGTCGTCCTCGGCCTGGGTTACAATTTCCTTGTATTGGCGCTCGTATTTACGCATGTTGGCAGCGGTTTCACGGAGACGTCTCTGCTCAGCTTCCAATTCAGCTTCCAAATCACGGATCTATAGATTGAAATAAGAAATTGGAATAAGAATAAATAAATTTAATATTTTCAAAACTCATGATCTTCTTGTTTGGCGTTTACTTACTCTGGCCTGGAGCTTGGCAATCTGTCTCTTTCCTTCACGGGTGGCGAAGGCCTCGGCTTCCTCAAGTCTCACAGTGATCTCGCGGATTTCAACCTCGAGCTGTTTGCGCAGACTCTCGGCGTTCTTGTAGTTCTCTTGTTCCTGGTGAAGTTCGCTGGCGAGTCTGTTGACCTCGGCAGCGAGACGGTCGGCACGTTCCTCGGCGGCTCTCTGGGCGTTGAGGGCATCATCGAGGTCACTCTGCATGGCGGCGATGTCTCCCTCCAGGCGGCGTTTGTCGTTGGAGAGGACGGTGATCTGGAGCTGGACTTCGGTGAGGCGCTGGGAGGTCTCTCCAAGTTCGGTCTCGGCATTCTTTCGTGCTCTCTCGGCCTGAAATTTTATATTGATAAATATTTAATTCAATTATTTTATATTTTACTTTATAGGACATTTCTTTTTCGTTATCAATTCTCAATTCCATATAAAACGTTTTATACTAACAGCGTCGAGGAGGGAACGGCAGTCGTCGAGTTCCTGTTGGAGGGAGATGCGTTTCCTTTCGGAAATGGAGAGTTGGCCTCTGCAGTCGTCGAGTTGGCGCTGGGTCTCTTCCAAGGCGCTTTCCAAGTCCTGATGGAAATTGAAAAGATAATTTTTTACCCTCACCACAACTTAGTATGTGTAAAAGTATTTTTAGTGATAAAAGAATAACCATTTCCAGAATAGGCAAGTTAAATGGTAATTACAATGTATACTTGAAATTTCACTTATTCTTGGAATGTTATTTCTATTTTTATAGTAATGCCCAACAGCATTCCTGGGATGTATATGTGATGAAAGAATTGTTTTGACGTAAATATATGTAGGAGTTATGGTATTCACCGACAGGTGGCTCTGTCAGTTAGATACGAAATTTCTAACCCCCCACTGTTTACTGAAAGGCGATCAGATCATCCTATTTTTTGTTGGCGTTGCTGATCGAAAGATATAAACCAGTCTTAGACTAAGAAGAAAATAGCTGGTTGCCAGGCGAGAATGAATGTTTCCAGGAGATTATCGATAGAGACAAACGAGGAGATTTGCTCAAGTTCTAATGTTGTAGAAGACCCCTATATTTCTATCCCGCATATATTAAAATCAATATGCTTTCTTGGGCCGTGTTTTAAATTTTTGTTTAAATTTCAGAAAAGCATAACATTTTATTATGATTTTTAAAATAGTAATTACAACAATAAATGTAAACTTTTGAGAAAAAAACGCTATCCTACTTTTTTCCCTATACCGGTACTATTTTTATCGTGCCTTACAAAAAGAAGCTAAAGCTTTCCTGAAAAGCTTTCCTTGATGTTTTTTTTAAATTTCAATTTTTCCTACCTTGACACGGTGCTGGAGAGATTTGATCTGTTTAAGGTATTCAGCATTGGCACGGTTGGCGTTGTCAAGGGCACCCTCAAGTTCACGGATATCGGTTTCGTATTTCTTCTTGATGCGGGTGATTTCAGTCTTGTAGCGGGTTTCCACCTCAACAAGAGTACGCTGGAGTTCTTCAATTGCACGGGCACTGCTCTTTCTGGAATAAAAATAAAATCACAGTGTGAGAGGAAAAAATAAGCTTGTTCAACTGAAGCGTAGGAAAACCCATTTTCAACTAAATCACATACGGTGTAGCCACCGAATAAACAGGACCGAACGAAAATTTTCGAGAAGCCATTTTCTTTTACAGCTGCAACTTCAAAATTCAGCTGAGATTTGAGTATTTCCGTTTTATATTCAGTAGTTTTATTCATTATCGTAAAAGATAAGCATAAAAGCGTAGATAAAACTTCGAAATAATCATCATTTCTGAGTTTTAAAACATGGGCGAAAAGTGCCAAAGGTTGTTCTACAGGTTATTAATTTTCTTTGGCGTAGGCCGTCTGATGGCTGGATATAAGGTTTATTTAAGCAATATCACCAACTGTGAAGCCTTAATCAGTTATAAGTATGGCAGGTCATGTATATTTCTCCGTGACTCAGAATCACGAGATTTACCTGATGCTGTCGATTTCCTCATCTTTTTCACGGAGCCTCTGTTCCATTTCGGCGCGAAGCTGGTTGAGGGCGGCCTGGGCTGCGGCAAGTTTAGCCTCAGCGTCGCGGAGAGCGTCCTCGGTGTCACGGAGAGCGGCGGCAAGGTTGTCGCGCTCAGTCTCAAGGGCAGCCTTGATGGCGTTCAACTCATTGATGGTTCTGTTGGCATCCTTGAGAGCTTGGTTAGCTTCACGAAGTTGATCTGAAATTAAAAGGTTACTTTGTCATTTTCTCCTTAATTTTACATAATATTACTATTTCATTAAGGCAAAGGTCATTTGTTGGTGTTGCATAATGCTTTGCGTACCAGAAAGGCTCTTGTTTTCTCTCTCGAGGTTGGCGTTCTTCTCGGCAAGTTCAGCGTTGGAGACCTTGAGTCTGTAGACTTCCTGTTCAAGGGCATGTTTGTCATTGCGGAGTTGAGCGTTCTCGGCGGAAAGTTCATCGACACGTTTTTGAAGAGCAGCATTTTCGTTTTCCAGCTGTCTGTTCCTCTTGGTGAGGTCTTGCACAATGATTTGACACTGAAAACGTGAATATTTATGATCAGTTCAACAATATTTTCGTTGAAACACACCATATTAAATAAATTTTCAGCTTCATTATTCCTCTTTCTAAAACAGAGAGAAGAAACTTACGTTCTCAAGTTCGATGGTGACTTCCTTGAGCTCGGCGGTGAGTTTGGACTTGGTCCTCTCGAGGTTGGTGCATCTGAGGCGGGTCTGTTCGAGAAGGTCCTCCAATTCCTGGATCCTGACACTCAACTTGCGTCTGCAATAACCGACGTCAATATTTCAGACATTTTATTTATATAAATCCAATTCTGAATTTTGAAATTTAGTAAGAACTAAGAAATGAGTTATACCTCATTTCTTCCATCTCTTCGGTCTTGGCCAGAAGTTCTTTGTCAAATCTGGTCTTGAGGGCGGCAAACTCGGCATTGACACGGCTGAGTTGGGCGCGGAGGTTGGAGGCGGCTTCAGATTCTTCCTCATAACGGGCGTTCAAGTTGTCATAGTCACTCTGCAGGGCGCTGAGTTGAACCTGCAGGTTCTGACGTTGCTGCAAAAGAAATTTTCCCAGTAAACTCAACTCTTTATATAAAGTTGTATTCTTTGTTTTTAAACTATAATTTTCTTCCATGAATAAATTTCAAATTGCACATACCCTGCTCTCGTCATCCAAGTTTCTCTTCAAGTCGTCCAACTGAACTTGAAGCTGAGATTTGGCTTTGGCGAGACCGGCATTAGCGGCATCTAATTCCTGCACCTGGTGTTGAAGATCGAAATTCTCCTGAGTGAGTCTACCTTTAAGGCCGTTGAGATCGTTATTTTGGCGGGTAAGGTCATCTACTTGAGCCTTCAGTCTGGACACAGATCCCTCCAAAGCATCGATCCTGGCATCGGCAGAAGCCTATAGATAGAACATTTTGGCTTTGATAGAGGATGCCTAAACACAATACCATTAAAAACAAAGTAGAAAAATAATATCTAATTTCAAACTTGCATTTATTTTCACCGCGACCGTAACAAACCTTGGCTTTACTAAGACCCTCGTTTTCAGTTTGAATCATGTCGATTTCAATGACCAGTTGGCTCTTCTCTTTCTCTACTCTACAAGGTAAGAAGGGTTAAATCTAAATCTACATGTTAGTGTTACGCACCTTGGCTTTTTGAAGGCCCTCAGTATGGGCCTGTAAGCCATCGAGTTCGGCCACAAGCTGTCCTCGTTCTTTTTCTGCCCTGTAAGCCAAGCATTGCCTTGTCTTTTAGAATAAAGCCACAGCACACGGTATTGCATTTTAAAGCATGTTTTAGGTGATACGTAAAATTTAAAAGAGTTGACTTTTTTAAAATTAAAGAGGCAAATTAATAAGGCGTGCAAAGCGCAAAAAACACGCACCTGCCCTTGGCTTTTGTCATGTATTCAAGTTGGTCAGCGAGATCGTTAAGAGCATCTTGGTGACGCTTGCGCATGCTGGCTTCTGCTGACTCGAACTGGGCATTGGCTAATTCAAAGTCCTTGCGGAGCTTGACTAATTCTGATTCTCTCTTTCTGTTGATGTCCAACTATAAAGAAATCGATAAAAAAAAGTTTCGTAAAAGAATTCCGTGTCAGAATTCTAAAATTGCCACAGAAAATTCAATGTTGAAATGATATGTACCTGTGAAGATGACATTCCGGAAGCTTCCTCAAGTCGGTCGGACATCTGGTCCAGTTGGAAAGTCAGCTCGGCACATTGTTTCTCGAACTACAATTTCAATAAGTATATCATTGTATTTTAGATTAGTTTTATTTTGTTCTTTTGATTGTTTTTTTTTTCTATTCACAGAGGCATTCTAACCTATCTTCGTCGAAGAATTGTCAAGATTTCTCACACTAAATTTTATTCAAGAAAAAAAGACAATGTGAGTAAGGTATGTGTTTTTGTTATTCTTTGGTGAATTATGGCGTCTATGTTTTCCTTCATGGTACGATAATCATAATGATCATTAATTGGACACATGTGCCTGTTGCAGGTAAGTATAAATAGAGGAAGTCGTTATTTGAAGTACGGTTGAGAAATATAGACAGGTGTATATGTAAAAGTTGAACGATTTTAGGCTAGGTATTTTCTTAATCAATGTTTGACAAGTAGCAGCATCCATAATGTAAGATATCAATCACAGCGCGGCAAGAAGGAATGCGCGCTATCGTCTGGATTGAATTTCCCTTCCTCATGTGTACATATATAGGTAGCAGATGCCGAGCGCGCACGTGCATCTATCTTCCGTGTAGTAGACAAAAGTTTGCTGAATGCTTTCTGTGCTACAAATAGACTGAGCATTGTTTTGTCGTGTGTACATCAGAACATCTTTGTCAAATCTTGGGTTTTTGAACTGAAGCCAAAGCGTTTTCAGCAATTTTTCACCGACACACGGTAATGCATGAATCTGCTAAACGCATCAATTTACCGCGATAAATTCATTACATAAGGCTCTCTCTGAAGAACGAGAGAAAAGAAAACATGCTTCTATGGTATTATGGAAGAGAATATATTTACGATTGGAAAAGAAATAGTAATCAGAATATTTTACACGAGGCAATAGTTCGAGTATGAACTTACTCTCAGTCTGGTGTCGCGTTCTCCATCAAGGGCATCTTCCAGTTCCCGGATGCGTGCCTAAAATTAAATGAAATTGTAAAATTGCAATTGTTAACATTAATTAAACATCATGAAAATGTAAACAACTCTGTTGATTAGAAATTAATTGTTGACTTTACTTTTCAAATACTATTTTCTATTGTGCAAATCTGAGATAGCTAATCCAAATCTTTAAGTCAAAACTCCTCTATAAATACATGTATACTCATAATTAATTTGAAATTTATGAAAAATATGCCAGTTTTTAAAACACACTTTTTGAGACTTTCAAAATAATGTGTATCGAATTCTTTTTTTTCCCGTTTGTGCATGTGGTCAAAACTGGCTGGCTGTTGTGTTGACAAAAAGGTGCGCATGCTTTGATGTGAGTTGGTTAAAAAATAGAAATATTCGTGTAAATTGGGTGTGCCATATATATCGTCCTGGATTCTTTTAATCTCTATCTAACGGTTCTAAATGTTGGGTGAGGGAACCTTTGGAAAATGGGTGAAGAAATGTCACACAGGACACCGGCACACACTTAATACGATACCAAAAATCTCTGTTCCTCGGCTTCGAACAGTTGCTTCTCGGTATTGACTACCCGAGTCTCTTTGCGAACAACTGTCTAGTAAAAGTAAACAATGTAATAACCAATCTACCTCATGACCATTTAATTAGAAGGAATTGTTTCATTTGTTTTTTTTAATTGAAATTTCTTTACGGTTTATTGAAACATCGTCTTTTTTGCAGATAATAAAAAAAATTAGAGGAATCATTGTTTTCTATCAATCGGCAAAAACTTTCAAACACAATTTGTGAACTTTATTTTCTTTGCAGGTTTGTTTTATTTTCTTTTTTGTGAGTTTCCATGACAGCTTTCGTATATCTTTTGAAGTTTGCTAAACCTCTTCTCCTTACAAGGTGCATCTATTTTTAGAACAAACATATTAGAAAGCGTTGCTATGAAACGAAAACAAGCGTCATACGCTTGGTATTTGCATTGATGAACCGTTCTTATGAAATTATCAAATTCTCTCAGTTTCTTTTTTCTTTGATACCAATAAATATCCTACGCCTCATATTTGTCGGTTTTATGAATGTAGTAAATGCCTTTCGCAGATTTTCCTAATCTTTGTAATCTGTTCATAAAATTTCAGTTGTGGAGTGAGTTTTGATGTATTTCATCTTAAAAAACATTAATATAAGTATTAGCCGCCATAGCCAAGATAAAATTCTTTTTCGGTGTTAGAGAATTTCAATTGCCATTGCAGCTGATAATGGTATATAAAAGGATGGGGGTTGAGGAATGTTAATGGGACCCAGGCTGGTTCATCCCGTCGCTTCCTTATCTAACCGCCTGATTATTATCATCGTATAGCGCAATACAACAGCATCTGCAGCTGAGTTTAAGCTGTGTCATGCACTAAACTCTAGAATCAAGACTGTTTATCCTGTAGCTAATCCAACTGAGCGAATATTTCCCATAAAGCTGTATTGTTCACGCTTTAAATCCCACAGCAGACTCTTTTTCTTTGAAAAGCAATAGAAATGCTGCATTTTCAAAATGTTCATTTATTTCCAAGTTAAAGCAATCCATTATGAAAGAGGATAAATCCCAAACATTTTGGCTGTTGGATGATTATTTTTCTTTAAGAATGAAACAAGTAAGCACAGCAAAGAATTGGCAATGGTTGAAGATTTGCAGATGCAATTTAATGAAAGCAGTAAACTTTTTCTTTCCAAAAAGATCATTTACAAAGCACAGATGACAAAAGACAATAGCAGACGACAAGGGGGACACACTGGACTCACCTCTAATCTGTTTTGTGTGGATGGGGAGGTACCGCGATAGACGTTGTAGGTGCGGTTCACCCTCACAACTTTTGTGGAAATATCGGAATCGTAATCCATCATGATATTTTACACAATACAGAACTACTTTGCGAAAAAAGAGCTGTTTTATTCCAAAGCTCGGCACTGGCTTTCGACTTGAGGCAGACTAACTTGAACGCCCGAATGAATGCTTAAATACTACTCTTGAATACGTTATATACAAGCAGTGCTCCGCTAGGGGTCGCTGGGATGGAAAAATGCACAGATTGTAAGAAATCTGATCGCAAAGTAGAGTCATAGAAGGCTGAAGAACAGGGGGTGCACGAAAGTATTGCTATGATGTCATAATCCTACGCACAGGTAGACTCGGGACTTATCAATATTAATTAGATACTAACAATAACATAGCAACAGGAAGCGGAACACGAGAGTTCAGCATCGTCCCCCAACACAGTTTAGCGACACCTCCCGCCATATATGGAGAGCAAAGCTATTGTGTATTACAGTGAATCTAATTGCTTTTGAGCGACTAACAGAGAGGAACAATTTCAAGCAGTTCTTTCCTCGGCACCCTGTCTTTGCCATGCCTTAAAGTGTGAATCCAAATATGTCGCACGTCGCCGACCTTGAAAGAAAACTAGTAATGTCTTCCCCTTCCGCATTCACCCGAACTGTGTCCTCAAATAACGATTAATTTCCAATTTCATTATGCGAATAGGTTAGGGAGTTTTAGGCATTTCTAGTAATATGCTTTACTCAGCAGTTGTTAACGAACAATGTCATTGCTTTGTTGTTTACGCAATAATTTTGACTCGGGTTAAACTCTGGAAACCGTTTCAAGAACATATCTTGTGCTTAGTTGGATTTTATTGCTTTTGTTCCTGTGTAATTTCAGGACTTTTTCGTTGTCGCAGCACAACAACCGAACTATATTTTCATCTCCAGACAGGTCGTGGTAATTAACGGTATACTGCTTATAATTTTATATTATTATTTCATCTTTCCCCCCACTTTTTATTTAAACTTCTTGTCTAAGCAGAGTTTCTTAAAACGTTGATTTACCTCAAAATTGTTTAATTTTTTTTTGGTCTTAAATTGTTATGATACAAATGCCAGACGTTAGGGTTAGGGTCGCTTCGTAGTGTTACGGACATGCAATGCAAGTATTTTTTCATGATACTAGTAAGATTTATTGTCTATCATTTCTAATGCCATTGATGTTACTATTGTAGGAATCTAGATGATATCTGTGATTTCAAAGAAAGAAATATTTTCTTAATATTCCACTGCCTTAATTATCTAATTTATCCATTAACATACTAGGAAGGGTATGATCTTTAATGCTAATTTTAATATTGGTAAAATTTTATGATCTTCCAAGATTTTAAGAAGTAAATTAAAAATGGACATTTAATATTGTAAATGTTATCGATGTAGGTAGCTTTATGTTATGTCTGTACACTGTTCCTTAATGAATTGTGGGTCTATCACCTTTGATGTTGGTTCATCGTTTGTGTTATGTCTATATCAATATTGCCCCTGTTTTTCTTGGAATCACTTCTGTAATATTCCATACAGAAGTCTGATAAACGATGTGCAGTGAGTGCAACAGTCTATTAATTCTATTAATACGTAACATCATTATCAGATAGGAAAGGTACATGTATATAATATTGGAGCTTATGATTAATACATATGTATATTTTTCCGTTGGAAAGAAACTTGACTAATTTTTAGTTCAACATTTTATCAATAAAACGAGTCAAGACATATATAAAAACACAAAAGTTCCTTCACATTTACGATTAACTTAAATTTTTTCATGTTTTTATTCTCTTTTCAGACTAGAGAAAGAAAGATTGACATTCTGAAAGTACGTTCATAAAACATTTCTTGTATATGGTTTGATAAGGGATATGTTTTAGATTCAAATCAAAAATCCAAGTGATAATTTTCGCAGATATTCTACCTGTTGCTTATCATTTGAACCAAAAGAAATGAATGTATACTATTTGACATTATTTTCTGATTATTTTTTGAATTCATTTTCTTTTATTTGCAGATAAGCTATCTCACCCAAGCTCTTTTAAAGTGATCTCTGTCAGAACAGATGTTACATTACAATATTTACGAGTGCTTGATTTCTATGTGTTAACCAAACAGATTATTTTTTACCACTTTGTAACTTCATTGACGTTTTTCTGTTGAGCAGCGTCATGTACAGTATTCTCCTAGTGTTAACATCTACATTTCAGTTAGATTTATGAACGATTATTTCAAAAGTAAAGGTATACATATTATCAAGTCATATATATATATATTTTTTTATGTATTTATAAGTCTTATTTATATTCAAAGTGCAAGATACTCACTTTATTTCTCTATGTTTGAAACAATATTAAGATGTTAAATAATTTAATTATTTTAATAAAATTAGCCTGATCTTTTTATAAAAGTTGCTGTTCATCGCATAAGATAAGGTTTCTATGAAAAGGCATATAAATAAGTTGTTTGATTTATGATTCATTTTAATTTTCTTTAAACAATCCAGCGGGCTTTAAGTTTTAAATGCCAAAAACATAATTGTATAGAAACAATTAGCAGCTGGTATGTATTCTATTTTTCTTTTCTTTTTGCATGGCAACTGTCTTCGAAGGCACTATAATGCACCCAACATTACTTCTCTGGACATTAATATCTACATTAATCTTTTGTTACTTGTCGCGAATTATATTGTTTATTTCTTTTTTAATTACAGAAAATTGTGATTTAGTAGTATCCCCACTGGATTTTTTTTTTAAATGAAAGGAGTGATTGTGTGAGTATAAGATTAATTCTACATTTAGGACACTAAACGTTTTCTGCAATTCGAGAGAGATCATGGATTTTCATTTGTTTGTGATTAAGCAACTTAAACCTTGGATGAGGGTACGTAATTAAACTTGGAAGCTAAACAGGTAATGCGTTGCAAGTCAAACTCAAGGTTAAGGTAAAGGTCATCAATCAAAACTGAAGGTCGAATAAAATTCTCTTCGGGGATGCCGAGTTTACAAACATATGTTCACTGACACATTTAAGAACATATACTGTCGTAGAAAACAGAGGGTTTAAAAGCGAGATAATTATGGGAATTTATGTCTCCGTTTACAGACGAGTAAGTGTATGAAAGTCCAAAACATGTGAGAGGGAGAAGAGCATTGAAGTGAATATGAAAAAAGTCGTGAAGAGTTATGATGTAAAACTTTTACTTCAAAAGCTGTAGTATTATTAGAAATATCTTTATTATCTTGGAATCTGGGTTTTACAGGCATGCAGATTCACAGTCAGACCCAAATTTTAAAAATATACCCGAAGGATAAAAAATTGTCAGGCATTGTTTTTTGGGGCAGATGCGATCAATGTAGTCAATAACTTTCAAGCTCTTTATCTCTTTTTCGTCAGTTTTTGCAAAATGATAACTTTAGCATGTTTCAAAAGATATTATGTGGAATGTTAACGTGTGGCTTTGATGAAAGCATCTTAAATATTTTTTCGCAATCTTTTGATATCTTAAAACCATCGCCACTGTTCTACATGCACCGCAACTCTAGAAAGAAGGTGGGAATTTTTTAATCTAAAAAAAAAATTCAATATTTTCTCATTACTTTTACTTCATAATTGAACTATATATCTTGAAAATTTTACATATTTACTGAAATGGGGAGGTATACCTATTTAGTTGATCAGGAATTGTCTAGCATAAGACGTGTTGCATACCGGCGGCGGTGAGTAATATACAGTCTATCCTATTCGTAATTATGCGCTTGTAACAATTCCCCCACTTCGTCATAACATAAAAATTCATACCAATATTTCCCTTTTCTTTTCTATCATACATGACCTTGACAATCATAAAAATGAGTATAGACTTTGTAGACAGTAACTAATTTTTTTTTTTTTTTTTGCTTGTTTCGTTTGCTTGCATTTTTAACTTTAAAACTATTTTGGAAGCAAATTCTTTGAAGTTTGAGTTATATTAAGCATCAGCACTTCATCTGTCAAACCCTGAGAGCTTACATAAATTCTATGAATGAACTTGCATACCTTCCGACATTTTCTAAGTTTTCATTGATTGCTGGGGTAAAAAGTGATAAAGGTGTAAAATCCTAGGTTACCTTAGTCATGAATTGTAATAACCTCTGTTGATTGCTTAAAGTGTTTTACTTATAGTATTTTTCAGAGTGATTTTTCTCGGACGCAAGTACAAGTAAGTTTTACTTTAGCTTATAATTATATCTGATTGGAAGTTTATGTAACCATATCGTATATATTTTTTCAATTAATTAATATCATACGAACTAATAACAAAGCTAAACTGAACAAATTTAAACAATATATTGTTCATAGCAAAAAAGACATATTAATATTAAAACATAATAAATATCAAGCAGGCTCTTTAGAAGCCAGCTCTATTTATTGTCGAGATGACAAGCATTTATTTGATGTTTTAATACAAGGTAGAACCAAGTTTATGTCAGTGTACATCAACCGTCGGGATTAACAGATATGTCAGTGTACATTCAGCAGAAAAAACTCTTTATCAGATATGCCATCTACAATGTTGGTACTATATGTTATTTGTTCCCGGAAGATATTGAAACTTTTTTGTAATGATTTTTCTTTCAAATATTGAAGAAATAAAATACCTTTTGCTATCAAATTCAAAGATAAAAAATTAGCAAATGACAATATTTCCAAGTTTTTTTATTATGTGGCAGTGATTTCATACTTCAAATGTTCAGAATCGGTAAATGAGCCTATATTTTAGGTATTCATTATGAAAGGAGTGGTAAACTATTTACATCTGAAACGGTGAATATTCCATTGTATCCTTTTTACGTGGAACAAAACGTTGTAAAAAGTAAAGGAAGTCAGCAGGGGGAAAACCAGGAAGTATATAAGAAAATAGGTCTATCTTCTACATGCAATATTTGTTGTTCTTATTAAGAATCAACCCAAGTTCTTCTTTGATTTACCAGACATAGTAACAACCCCTTTTTGAATATAATGTACCGAAATATCTAAAGTGTTTACATAATTTGATAGTGGATCCATATCTAAAATAACCTTTCTAGTCCAGACTTGCCAAAGGTAAATTTTTAGCAGACAAACAGACGAACAGGGAAAAAATTCTTTACCCTCGAGTGTCAAGGCAAAAAAACAGAAAAAGGAAAAACCCATATATTAAAGGAAAATGGAAACTTGCCCTTGTATTCAGGCATATAAAACAATATGTTGACACAAGTAGTAGTGCAAAATTGTTTTCTTATCTACTAAATAGACAAATCTGCTCTTTTAAAAAGCATAAAATTTAAACACCAAGTGACAACAGGAAGCATGTAAAATTGTGCATATGACAATAAAAGTATGATATATAGTTGATTTAGTAAAAAGTAAAACACACGTATATGTAAATAAATATTAATCCAATATTTTAGGTAAAGATATGATTAAAAAAAAACTTTATCATTTCCGGGAACACATATATGTTCAGTTAAATTATTCACTCTTGGTTTAATCAGATTAAGCCTCTATGTAATGACGCATAGCCACAAAATTAGGGCATCATATTCGCTCGTAAATGACAGTTTTGTTTGCTTATCTTTATTATACATGCCTGTCCTCTACACCGGAAAGCATCTTCAATGCAGGAAAATACCTTTGTCGTCTGAATAAAATGGAAGAATTATACCGGTATTTTACTGTAATTTTGTAAATTTTTTACTTAGACTCTTTGCAAAGAAATGAACATTATTATTATTCTATATTTACTTTAAACATTCGTATGATCTCAATTTTATAACATTTTACATAGAAAAGAATATACCAGGTATATATTAAAAGAAAATCAAATAATATGACTAGCATTGACTTGAAGAAATTTATATGATTACACATTTATATTAAACATATCTTTTGTACATTTTGATCGGCATGAAATCAAGTTAAATCTTAGATATGCCTGGTACATGCAGGTGACATGAGTGAGAAGTTAGTCTGTCCTTGAGCGAAATGTTCCTTCTGTAACTGCTCATCAGTAATTTGTCTTTTGAAAGCAATATACGGCCCGGATTAGCACCAGTTTGCCTGCATGTATTGCATGCTGTGGAATGTCTTATCATCCACAGAGTGGCGTGTGGTTTCTTTCTCGATGATGGTAAAAACAGGGTAGGTCGCTTTTTGAGAAAATCTAGATTACCGGTGATAGGAATAAATCCTTCATGGCTAATTTTCCGAGGAACAGTAGAGCTGATGCAGCAAGGTAGATTATCTTCTCCTCTCATCGGTCTCATCCCCCAAGCCAAACTCTTGTCTACAGCAAAAGATCAGAGAGCTGATATAGGATAATTACAGCTCGGCCTCAGTTATATCGCTCTCTCTCTTCGTGTCCTCTCTATGAAGTCTGGGTTGGATTAATAGTGTATACATGCAGGTTAATCCATTTAGTGATAAAAAAGAAAGATAATTGGTTGATAGAATGGTATACAGAGGAGAATCGGTTAATGAGAGATGATTGTTTAATGTTTATCGTTTCTTGATGTGGTTTAAGATTGTGAAAAGGAACTTAGACAAAATTTTGTTACACAAATACAATTATATATACTAATTTGCAATAAAAAGCAAAGTTTTAATATGTAACATTTTAGAATCAGCAAATTTGCAGGAAACAATTTTAAATGTAGTTGGGTCAAAGACGCTGTTAAAATTATTTTTAGTAATAAATATGATTACTGCAGTACATCTTGTTTTGATGCAGATTTCCTTAAAATATATATATATTATATTAATAAAACTGCTGCAAACAAAACTGCAAAAAATTATACCCCCAAAAATTCCAAGTCAGTGATCAAGGAGCATGTTCTACTGAGACGGAACTAGCCTTAGTCTCCCTATAAGTTTTTTGATGGAAAGTAACTTAAGGTTGTTATTTAAAAAAAATCTAAAATTTTATTTTAAACAAATCATTATCATTGTTGTGCACAGACAAAATGACTGATATATTTAGTGTGTTAGATTTAAAATGAAATGGAAAATAACAGCATGCAGATATGATAATTTATGTGACACAGTATAAAAGAACAGTATCATCAGCACGTCTAACCGTAGGAACATGTCTTTGGTTTACTGTGTGTTTCTGTTTTCCTTCTATATTAAAAGGAACGGTATTGTATTTTTTAACCAGGTTGTGATGCTCTGTACTTAACACTTTGATTTGTTCACATTTACATTTATTTTCAAGTTAAAATGTTTGTTCTGATATTAAT